ATCATTATGCTATAAGAAGATGCATCTAAGGTGACTTTTATTCATCAAAGTATGTGGTAGTCATTAGGATAGGTGGTAATTCATTCACATACTTATAAAGTACTGTATACCTTTGTCAAGTCTAGTAGACCGATATAAATCCATCACCCGTTTAAACCGATCATTGATTTAACCTTTGACAACTGACAAATCGCTAGAAATAAGGAAATATCTGCATATATCAGCGTGTGAATTACTCAATAAAGTGTCATGATGTATCTTGATGCAGTAAAGTAACGGAAATGATAAATATGCCTAGTTATTAAGGACATTTCGCTTTACTTCTAGCTTGCATAGGATACTGTGGCATGGACATCTATTCAATAATATAATGACCATAGCTAACAATACTATTATCATAAGCATACATTATAACCTATTTTACTGACAGAAATAAATTAAGACTTCAAAAAATAAAGTATTCTAGCTACCTAAAGTCATTGTTATGAATTAATTAAAGGCTAGGACTTAAAAAAGCATCTACGTTGTTCATAGTAAACTAAATAAATTTTGCTTTATTTGATACACTTACAGCTAACAGCAATGATCAATTACCCATTGGAGTATTTCAAGCAATCTATAAAAATTCCAGCTATGGATCCAATATTGAATATTATGATTGTGAAATTGAACACTTTCAAAGTTATTCCTCCCTCTCTTCATTCAATCAATGCAATAGGCGCTTAAGACTTGAGAAATGTTTTAAATTAGTTGGACATTATTTAAAACAATAGAAGATTCTTTCAGTGTAAAGTACAACTGACTTCTTTTGTATAAAAATCTTATTACTTTTATTAACAAATCTTTGTCATGATACCAACACATTGATTACTATGCCGTTTTTCATTTCTTGAACAAATAAAAAAATAGGACAAAGAACCATTTAATTTTAAAGAAAATGAAAGTGTACTATAAGAAAGTGAAACTGTATTATCCTTGGTGACGGTGATCCGAGCTACTTGCAAAAAGAATACTTACTAATATGTTGTCTTAGAATAGAAAGAAGTGATATCATTATTAATTTAAGCCAGATGGCTATTTCAGCTATAATACATTTTAGAAAGAATAATGTTGCTATTTAACAAATATTGTTCGACAATTGTATAAATTAAATGGTACTCACGTTGATTTTATGTTATTGTGCACACTGAAAGGTGCTTACTTTTTATCTTACATCTATCTTAAACGATTATTCGAGACTACTATGCAGTTTAAATGTTATCTATCATTATCACCTTTATTCAAGTATACCAATGCAATCATACTGGCCATAACAGACATGGAAGATATTCTACGCGTATATTTCTTATTCACATTTATTTACCATAGTTACTACAAACTAATAAACGATACAAGTCTTTATGGAAAAGTATTCATAGATATTCAACTACATGAATATAGTGATGAATAATTAATATTTATTTCATGAAATAAAAAATTGCAACGTAGTTACCATTCCAATCCTTGGTAACGGAATTTAATATGTTCTTGATTGGCGGAAATGGAGAAATTAATTTATCTAAAGCGATGAATAGGTTCTCTTTGTTATCAAGGATTATTTCGATGGGTTATTATAGTACTTTTTACAAAACAAATGAAATTAAATATTGCCTTGATAAAATCTTGTTTCATATGTTCAGTTTGTACTAAAGTTGTGCTTTTTCTTTTTGCTAGCTGCAGTACCAAATCAGTATTCTATACGTCTTAGCTATGCTATATAGATTGATTATGGTAAAGTGAAAATAGCTTGTCTTACTTAAATTATCTGCTAATCTGTTTCGAATGATCATTTCATATTTCCTTACCTACTTAACAAATTTGCCAGGACTATAGTTAGAGACAGCGTATTACCTTGGATAAATCAAACGTTTCTTACTTCTTATTTAGTATTTTAACTCGAAGATTTTGTCTAAAGGTTTAGAGGCAGATATGAGTTAACACAACATGTTCAGTATATTCTCTATACACTTTTAATCGAAATTTTGATCTAGTCTCACTTGCTTTTCAGACACCTACGACAATAAGTGATGTTCATTTGAATCCATTCATGTTAGGTGAGAAGATTAATGTTGGAAACGTGATCAATCCAAGTGCGCTTTGTGTAACTTTACCCATAGACAATTTCAAATTATTTCGTTCATTTTTTCGATTGAGTCATCTAAATTAAGCTAGCATATCATAGTATTTCGTTAGTTTCCATTTTCTCCCTAAAAAATAGAGATTACAATGATCTAAGCTTTCCTTTAGTTTTGCAGAACAAAATAAGATGATTAACTATTATACCAATTGCTATTTTTAAATAACTACGCGTATATCATTTTCCATCAGGTTTGTAGCCTAACAACTAAGAAGGAGAACATAATTCACTTAAAGCCTTGTACGCTAATTAGTAAATAAAATAGCCAATAAAAAGATGGCCAATGGATCGCACTCTACTGGAATACAAAGATGCTTTCACATCCTGCCTCCGCTTGAGAGAAACAATAATATTTGCTCTAAAGGTGCAACTAATCTGACCATGTTAAAATACGGCACGGTGTCAAATTTTCAGTTTTACTCTGCTATATCGTCTTTTCATTCAGACACACTCTTGCCTACACCAAATTTATAGACAAGAAAAAAGTTAGAAATTGCAAAAATCAAGTTTATCTCTATTTCACATCACGTAGATATCTCCTTATATTTTGCATACTACAGACATTATTTGGCAACTAATATTTATACCTTTCTAAAGAAATTAAAAAGACCGAGCTGTTTGTTATACTTTTATCAACATTTCCTAAATATTATCCTTCATGCAGCTATAAACAGGTGCAATAACAATAAATTAATAGCTATGAATTAAAATCTGAATATTAATATGCTGCTGATCAAATAATGCGTTATATTCAGATGCTTCTTTTGTCATTACTATAGTACTGATTTAAAATTGTTGCTGTATCAACAAAAAATATTTACTATAGGAACAGCAATAACTCGGAATAAAATGAAAATGAAATAGTAAACTTTAGATACAATAACAGTTAAATATAGTTTAATCCTGACAGTAGGGAGATATCATGAGAAATATTGCCTTATAGTCATACTTTATTAAACATTGCAACAATACGTTGGTGATATTTCTCTCTCAAAGATACAAGTATAATTTGTACTTTAAATGTAAAAATCTCTTTTCAATAATTGCTTATTTGAAAATCATTACGTAATCTAAAATACTGCAACATAATTGAGGATTCAGTTTTACATCCAATTTATTAATACGGTATTCGAATATATTTCATATCTTGTAATGCGAGTAGATATTTATAATCGAATATCGGTTACAGTCAGAAAACCATAATTATATATAATTGCATCCAATCAGTTTCATGCTAACTATCAAGATATCAAAATAGGATGATAATACGAGTAATTACTGTAGTGTTTTTCTTGCAAGCGATAGCATCCGGCACGTTCCGGCGGAGAATTCAAATAACTCATTTGATATCTGATATTTGATAACAAATAGTATCATGAGCTACATCAAACACTTTATTTATAGTTATGGTGTACATACAGTATGTGAAAATAAGACACATTTTTAATTGATTTGTTCTACGCAAGTATCGTAAGAATAGAGAAGTATCAATATTGACACCAAGTCTGAATATTTATAACCTGCTTTATATCTACAAACGATCTAGAGTACTACAGTATATGCATAGGATTTAATACAAGCATACATTGATATTGAAGCTTAAAATCCTGAGTAAAACGTAAGGCCGTTTACAAAATTGATCAATTTTAAGTACTACAATAGTTATAATTATTTTAGTTACGTAGTTATTATAATACATGGTTCGTACCTTCATTACTGCAATTAGTTATGAACTAATTAAGTCTTGGATTAAAACAGCTAGTAAACAGTTTGCTACTGCATTTACAGATAATATACATTAACGACAACAATACGTATGGTTTCAACTATGACTTATCTTAGAAGTGATTAGTAACTGAACGACAGTAAGTTTAAAGGATATTATTATTATTGCCTCTAACTGGTGATAATAAGAGTATATTATTGTATTGTATAAGAGTATATTATTGCTGCTAGGCCCGCACTATAATAATTATTGTTCTATGTGATACGATTAAATTCTTAATAATAAAAGTTCTCATGTAAATAGTAATTGGTTCCTTGCAGCACTGTATTTTAAAACAATACAGCATAGTATTGATATCTCTGTGTAGAGATATTTAATTCTATGCACCAAAAGTCGTTCCAGAATCTTCAATCTGCATATTAAGAATTAATAATGAGATACGGTAACTACACGCAGGTAGATAATCAAGAATAGATGATAAAGGATTAGCCCATATAGCAAGCGTTATTATAATATGTGTAAATTTTTGGCCAATCAAAAACGAGAAATATCGGTTAAATATCAGCGATATGAATAATTTTAGCCAAACAGATGATTAATTTATGGATAAGAGAGTAAGAAAGAATTTTAGATTCTAGGTATTATTTCAGTGCTACGAAAATGGATCGGTTTATATATATTATTAATATAACAATAATACGTGACTTATAAATTAAATGCTACTCTTTCCATGCGCATTTACCATTAAAAAAGGAATAATTATTGATTTAATGAACTAGTAAAATTTTAGTTCACCTTAACTTAAGGAAGGATAAGATATCAAATCAGCGTTTAATTGATCACAATATCTTAATTCATTTTAAGCTACTAAAAGAAGTATTTTACGAAATAGTGTACAAGGTTGAGTTATAGATGAAGAGCCTTCGATAATATCGTTTTGTTAATAAACGATTAATAAAATTAATTCAAGTATAACTAGCACAAAATGTGAGTTAGCACATCAACGCGTATTATGGCTAAGGAGGACTTTCAAGTCTATCACAATATATCCATGAATTTCTAGTATTTGATATCAAACTTGGTCAGCTTCTCCTTGAACTACTTAGGGAAGAAACCTTTTCCATACAGAGTATCCAATTTAGATAACATTTCGTCATAATCAACATAACATCCCACAAGATGCCTGTAAAGAGATACAAAAACCAATTTAATTATATAGCTATTATTGTATAAACATGTACATGTAAAAACTTGCAAACTGTAGCGCTATACTAATTGTCTATGTTGCTGTATAACGTAGTTCGATTTTATCAGAAAATTTTATCTTACCGAGATACTCGATCCGAATTGAATGCAGATCGACCATGCAACACACGACGATTATTGAATGCTACTAAATCTCCAGGTTGTAATCCTAGAGAGTATTGTAACTCTGGATCGCGAATCTTACGCATCAGTATACTAAATATTCAAAATAAAAAAAGTAAAAACTATAATGTTGACCCCTTACAAAAATGAAACTATTGTATCTGTGATATATGAACTATTTATAGTTCATATCACATGTCAAAATCGAGGAAAATACAACACATGTAATAGCACATACTTGTATGCAGAGTAGAAGGGATTTATAGTTTCCTTCGGAGCCTGGATCGGACCCATGGTTCTGTTATTGACGTGGATTTCCTATACATAACATATCCAAATTGTAAATATTATAATCAGTCTGTTCAGTAAAAGCCAACATAACAATCCCAATTTAATAAGTTTTACTTTTATTCGTAATGCTAGTAGTTACCGAAAAATTGCCATCCTTATCCAAGCAGATAATTGGTTTTGTCTGGTTATAGGTAAACTGCAGTATATTAAGCATTTAGTACGCCGTTTAAGAGCAATATTAAATCAAACAATATAAAATATCAAGGAAAAGTATATCAGGCGAATAGAAGTTACCGATTCAGTTGTCAATTCAAATTTGACTTCGATTGAACATAAAGTGTAAAATGCTGACGGATGATGCTTCTTTAACCAACTAACAACGTGCAGACCATCGACAAAAAAAGTTCGTCCCCCAGGATTACTAACATCGTGGTTGTTTTTTAAACAATGCAACATCTGTAAACCTGTAATATCGTAAGTTTTTTGTTGAGTAATTTCTTCATCATTACTCCAGTGGCTCAATATTCCACCACCTACCTGGTGAATTTTCTCTATAGTTCATGTCCGTATGATGATCTAAGCCGCGAGCTGAAAAGGCTAAATGTGAATTCGGTTTTGGTTCAACTACTACATCAAAGTATTTTCCGTAAGATGTTTCCTTAACATAAGCAATCCTTTCAGCCATATCTAAGATAAAATCTTTCTCTATTGGTGTTCCTACAAACGAATAATTATTTAACAAAATTGAATATTTACATACAGGATCAAATTTGTAAGCATCGGTCTTATGGTGTTAAAAATCACATCTTGGGGAAGAAAAGGACTAACCTTTCACTATAGCTACACCATATCGGTGAATTAGACTTATCCATTTATATAGTGCAACCTCGGATGACTTAATTTCATCATACGACATTACAGGAGGATTTTCCGTAATCGAATGTTGATTCCATTCGATTTCTTGTGGACGGCTATTACGTTTAGAACTTTCACTCGGAATATTGATAAAAAAGTGCCGACCATTTGCTCGTAACCTTGGTTAGACAAATTTAATTTTATATCAATGTTGGTATGCATTATTCCTACTTTAGTAATGACTTGTTTTGGTCTAAAATAGTTTTAGGCACACTATCAATACAATTTACTCACCAATGACTGTCATAAACACTTTCATGTTGATCGTTGTCCCAAACGACTCGAACATGACTACCTTCATCGACCATCTCAATAGCTTGTGGTTGTAAGTCTAAAGGCACTCGAGTTATATCAAAAAGTTTTTGTCCAGTGTGTGGATGCTTGCATTCAGAACACTGGCAATTGTCTCGTAACTACAGTACATAGGAAAGGATAATAAATTAGCAACCTTTTATTAATGCTTATAATATTCTGCTAGCATTATAATCTTACCCATAAATAGTTAATATCGGCTGTTAAGCTGTCATTCCAAATAACTTTTGTAGATGAAGCTGTCACAGGGAGTACATGAGTAAAGCGATATTGTGACTTTCCATGAAATGTCGACGCTGCAGATGAGGCAAATGTACGTTTACATTGCAATCTAGCTGTAGTTACTACAATAGATGAATGTGTAAGAATATCATGATTAACCGAGTTTTACTGAGAAATTAATCATACAAAAGCATGATTTTACAAGTAGAGTGCAATGTACACTACTTAAATACAAAAATCTAGCTCAAAGTTCAATTAGGTAAATTGATTTTTGAAAAATTTATAGCGTTTACATTCGCTTCTTATACGATAATAATTTACGATCGTTGAGCTGCGTAAATTCTGAACGATAGCTCTTCACAATATTTACAAGGCATAAATTGATGAAAATTAAATAAAGATTGTTTTCATCATGAATTGGAGTAACATGATGAGTTAATATACTGCAATAGTTTCGCCAGCATCAATAGATTTGCTTCAATCACTCATGCAAGTAACAAACTATCAGATATGTACCGCATTCATCAAATTCATGCTCGCTGATGTATGAGTTTGATATTACATTATGCACGACAGAAAGTACATCCTAGCTCGTAATGATAGTAATTAATACACGTTGGGAATCTGACAATAGAAGACGCTAATTTGAGTTCAGAAAATAACTTATCTTCTTCACTGTAAACATAATTACATCCAAATTACAATAGTTTAAATCGATACTTTTAAAGTTGTACAGTTAATTCTATCTTTCATGCTAAGCAGATACAATCATTTATACTGGTATTGAAAGCCATTTATTGTCAAAATCTTACCACTATAATTGTTTTCTAGCAGGCAACGTCCTATTAGACGGCGAGCTGTACTTGATACAAAGCGTGTCAGCATGATTCGCTAGTTTCAGTTGTTTTCTGTAGTGAGAGAAAATTTAATTTAATCCAATATGTCAAGTTACAGTGACATTTCAATCATCAACCACGGCAGTACAATCAAGAGCAGGCACCAAAATTGTCGCACTAACGGGATACAATATATTGACAAGTGTAAAATGAAAATTTTATGAATTCATTTTAGGCATACGAATAGAAAAAGGGAACAATCCTCAAATAGTTAAGAGTAATAAAATTGATACTGAATTATAGCATTAAGAAACTAGTAAAATTAAATAAAGCATCGACTTAGTGGTCCATGATACAAACATACAGTTTAAATACGGTTGACCTTTTTACAAATTTATTCTTCCTGTGAGCTTAATTTGAACCAATTTCAATTGTTACAGTCTATTTAATGTGCATTAAATTAAGTAGAAGGTTGACTATATACCGACTATATACCTATTAAAGGTACAAGGTAACAAAACTTAGTTTACGTCACGGTACACGGTATAGGCTTATATCTATTTTTGGAATACCAATTACTTAGCCCTAATGCAGACTATAATATAAAACAATCGTTTTTAGGGGTATTCTGGTTGTGGGTGCAGCATCATTTGATTTTATTATTTGATGGGTACAGTAATTGCAGGACTACACCTTTTCTGGAGTCGTTCCTGGTATTTATAAAGATCGTTAGGGGAGTGCTCCATTGATTGGATGCTACTCTGCGCAAGCGATTATGTAAAACTGTAGATTATTACAGTTAAATGAAATAATTAACAACCAAACTGATAGCATTTAAATATTACATCGCACTAGTGTCAAGTATTCATGATTTAGAAAATCGCCAATTTTAAGCATTGCACGGGGCTAGTGTCAAGCGTTATTAGAATATTAGAAAGTTACTGATTTTAAGCATTGGATCATGTGCCACGGCTAAGCGTTATGATCGGCTCAGCAATTATTCATTAATGTAAACTGGAGCATTGCAGTAACATTAATTTTAATTAATTACGCTTGAATCTTGCATTATTGACGTCGATTTCAAATATTGCATCACTGTGCTACAGTCAAGCGTAGTATGCATATTATTGGCGTAGAATTCGTTAATTAGCTATAATAATAATAATAATATTTTTCTAAAGAATTAGTAATGCTATGTACGTAGCCGATTGTCTTCACTTGATGGTGGGTATAACTGAATTACTAGAGATTTACGAAACTATCACATCACAGATTTTTACACTTAATTTAATTAATACGTGGGTATTGCATCATATTAACGGAATTTATTACATACTTTCTTCTGCTCCTTTCCCTATTGACTACGCCTTGTAAAAAATAATTCAGAATTGAATCTTATGACCAGTAATACCGTGAAACTATCTTTAATACTTGTTGTTGTGTAATGAAGGAAAGTTGCAATCGTGAAGCGATAATTACAGTAGTTAGTTATCGAAATGCTACGGAGTGTGATAGAGCCAATGTCATTGAAATGCAGTTTCATTGGCATCTAAAAGGAATTACACGAGGGTAAATCAATACCGTTGCCATTTACTTGAATTAACACCGTGTAAGCCCAATATGTTCAGTAGGTTGTGCAGTTACGGGCCATTTATAACATTGGTTCTATAAAAGCTCAACTATGAGCAATCGTACTTTTGTAAACAAATACATCGGTCTGATCAATTACGCTCTTCTTATGACTACGGTATCCAGTATGCAGTAAAGTAATATTCCCAAGATGGCGCAAGTTCAAGTTGATTATCCTATCCATAACGAAGATAGGCATTGGAAAGTCGGGTAGAACTATTTTTCGCCTCAATCTGCCGTGCGAATCGAACAGTACTGTATATCACACACTGCTGTGGCCTATGAAGTATGTGTTGCATGATGGACAGTATATCAAGGTCTATACGTCTATTTTAATAGTAAATGAAGAGGGCATTTAACAGTGTTTACCATGTAAGATGTTGTAATCGAATGAACTATTTTCATTACAGAGCAACATGCATATTTGTATACTGCATTCTGATACCATCAATGGAGATTATAAAATTGCCAAGGCAACCTGTACGATAGCAGTGATGTACTGTATTGAGGAGGAAAAGTAGAAGCACTAGAATGGATATAAATTAGATATAAACTATTGGCTGTAAAAGTCGCATCCATTTCATCATGCAATGATCATTTTATACAGGATTCTTTTTAAACTTTCGATTGCTTTCAAAAAGAGTCCAATTTCACTAGGTACGGTAGTGGTAGATTATTCTATAGTATACTGTCATCAGGCTTGCTATGAAATAACCGTTTACAGCCAGGTGTATGCAAAGCGCTTGTGGCTCAGTTTTGAAAAACCACTTCTGAACGATATAGTAGGAAAATAGCCACGGGGCGACATTACTTTTGCTATCGATTCATGAAGTAGAGTACAACGCTAATCGCAGCACTAGTCGTTGGCAAAAATAATGTCACTCAATCCGCTGCAGAGGAATGGCGGGTGAGTCATGCCTACAGTGTACAGTACCAACTGTAGCTCAGAAAAACAGAATTCTACAGTGCAGCGTACTGTACCGAATTCATTTCCATACTGCCACGCGGATACCTCCAGGCAGCTACACGTACGATATAGACTACTGACGAGTGTACAATACAGTCCACTGATTTTATTATTCTAAAAGGGAATATCCTAAAGTAAAGTAAACAAATAAATTCTGGACATACCGGTGATGTAAAGTACAGTAAAGACAGTACAGGCCGAAACCCCCCCCCCCAAAAAAAAAAATTATTGATTAATTAGCAATGTTTTGGTCAAGGACATCGAGGGTTAACGTTGTCGTTCATCTCAATATTCTTGGATTTTGGCAAGAATCAAGGATAACTCAGTTCCATTTTTTGTCGATATTGCTAGGGCGAGTATCCATCCATCATCGCATTTCTACTCTCGATGTTCAAGTGTGAAGACTGAGTCATTGAATAAAATGAATAAAATAAAAACTACTAGATAGACGCTTAAGTTAATGTAAATTGATGACGTGGATCACAACTAGCAGTAACGCTCATCCTTTCAACTGGATGTACCATTAATAAAATACATGATAGGATAATTGTGGTGGGTAAACTCTTGCGCCGATGGATTGATCCATTCTACGTTAATGAATTGATATTATTTTACAGCAGTTGGATGATGTGAAAAGAAAAGCTGTACAGTAATCCGGCAGCACAAATAGTATCATTGATTCAGTCCTATCCTACGCAGTGTCAAGATCAAAAGCACTCAGGATATACTGTACACTGTTATACTGCAGTTTGTGAAAGGAATGAATCCGTTCAAGATGACTCTTCCTTATATTTTTTGAAGACTGAATTAACTCATTCTCAACTTGAACCAAAGGGATCAACACGAACGGCGACAACATGTACCCTTGCACAGTGACGTTATCAACGATAACAACAAAATAGAAACGAGTCCTGTACAATCTTACCTCCACTTTCCAATGACGATAGGTGCCTTAACCGATTATTAATTAGTGTTGTTGATTGACTTTGGTCTCCAATCAATCTACTGTACCACAAAACCTGAAATACATGTAGATGGATTCCCCAACTGAAATTGATTTTCACTCATGCAGATACAAAAGCCGTGATTGTTTTCCCACTGCGCCCTACAGTATGCTACTGTAAGACACAAGAGAAAGACTCTGCTGCTAGCGTACTGTACACTGTAGAAATACTATAGTAAACAAGTGGACTACTCAGGTACGGCCGTCTCTTTGCATTCAAGCTTCCATTGTCAAGACAAAGGGATGGTGTCAAAACCGGAATGCATGATGGGTAGCCAATCCTTGGTCACCTGGTACGAGAGGCATTTGTGATGTCACTTTACAGTGGTCGTGACCTGTTTTGGCATCAATTTGTCACTTGCAATGTCCTTCAAAAATGGATTCTACAGTATAATACAGATTGACAGTACTGTACTAGCACAGCATTCTATGGCCAACGTACAGTACAGTACATTGAACAAGTGTTGAGATCATAGAAAAAATGACATCATCGTGAAAAAAAAAAGATTTATTTATTTCTATGGCCACTATGGGCAAAAATGAATGCAGCAAATGCTATTAGCTACTTTTTTCCAGTTAAGTAATTTCTGCTTAATCTACCTTAACAAGTCTTGAGATCATAGAAAAAATGACATCATCGTGGAATAAAAAATATTTATTTATTTATTAAACGTCCACTACAATATTGTATATACAATACTTTACCAGTGTCCAATATGGCCGACTTTCTCGGCCATACAGGTAAAGGACAAAACCTCTAGGCTCCCGACACTGGTCTTGTATACGTCTCTACATGCGTCGTATATGGACCTAGGTCAAAATTCAGATAAATAATAAATTCACTGACTTTATGTTGCAAGAAAGGATGCCGATCAAGTACCCCAGTGTGCAATTGGACTTCATCGTAGCATTCAACTCAATCTTGTTCAAAAACTGAAATCAAGCAATGCAAAATTGTTCATCATCATGCACCTCCGCGTACAATTCATTATACGGGTACAATAATTTTACTTCATGGCAGCATTCAACTCAATCTTATTCAAAAACTGAAATCGACCAATGCAAAATCGTTTTATCATCATGCACCTTAGTATACAATCCATTACGATTTGACTTCATCGCAGTATTCAACTTAATCTTGTTCAAAAACTGAAATCGAGCAATGCAAAATTGTTCATCATCACGCATCTCCGCGTACAATTCATTATACGGGTACAATAATTTTACTTCATGGCAGCATTCAACTCAATCTTATTCAAAAACTGAAATCGACCAATGCAAAATCGTTTTATCATCATGCACCTTAGTATACAATCCATTACGATTTGACTTCATCGCAGTATTCAACTTAATCTTGTTCAAAAACTGAAATCGAGCAATGCAAAATTGTTCATCATCACGCATCTCCGCGTACAATTCATTATACGGGTACAATAATTTTACTTCATGG